CCATTGGCCAAACTTCATGTCTGAGTCATGCTTTTAACTGATCAGAAATGAATGTGGAGAAAGCATCTCAGCAAAAATCAGAGGGCATGGTTCGCTGAGACGAGATGTTGGCACAACATCAGATTACACACAAAAGGTCCAAATCTAATTTAGTGGCTGCAGATAAAATGTGACTCAGACATGTAGGGAGGAAATTGCTCTTTGTTGCTACAAGAGCAGAAAGGATTTAGACATGTAAACACAAATAAATTTCCCCAAGGATTAAAACCTATTGCCAAGTGAACGAAAACGGCTACGTCATTCAGCATTCAGGTCCAGACAATGAATACGACACAACACCCACTTCGGAGAGTGAAAGAAAACACATGTTGGTGAAAGCGGAAAGGAAGTCCTGAGCAAGCTTTTAGAATAAAACGTATTTTTAAAATGGTCTTATTAGATATTAAACTCTACTTTGTCTTGCTTTCGTTTACAATAGTTGTCACTTTTACCTGTTGTCATGGATCACCTGATGCCCTTTATCTAAAGGGGAGATTTTTCAGGATGACCACAAATTATGCAGATTTCAGATGAATAAGAAAGAAACTTGTTTTTTATTGTTCTTGTTTTGTTTTTTTGTATGGAGGGAAATGTGACACAGCAAGTTTGAGTCAGCTGTGGCTCAAAGATAGATGGAGGCATCAGTACTCCGCCAAACAGCACTTCACAGAGTTGGAATGGAAGCAGGGAACGCTTCTTCAGCTGCCTTTAAACTCATTTCATAAATCACTGAGAGGAAGCCTCACTGAAAAAATGATGCCCAGTGGTGAGTTTTTGGCATCTTGCATGCTTTTGAATTTTGATTCTCTTGAATTCAAGAGAATTCTCTTGAATTCTCTTGAATTTTTGCTTTTGCTGACTGTCTGCTTCACTTGGCAATAGTAGGAAGGAAAAACTTCAAAAAACCTCTGTGAGGGATGGCCATCTGCCATGATCAGTTTTGGGTGAGGGGAGGAAGAAAATGATGAAGACACCCTGTAAAAGAGAGCCAGAAATTAAGAAGAAAATGAAAAACAAAAACAAAAACAAAAAACCCCACACTCAGCGTGTCTCCTGAATCCAAACTGGGAGCTGGTTCCACAGGAGAGGGGCCTGAAAGCTGAAGGCTCTGCCTCCCATTGTGCTTTTAAATACTCTATGAACAACAAGTAAGCCTGCAGTGTGAGCGCAAAGTGCTCTAATGGAGTGATATGGTACTATACAGTCATTACCTTAAAAGCCTTTAGTCTTATTAGAAGTTTTAGGAAAAATCCTCAAAGTACAAGAGTGAGAATCTTTCATACAATGAAAATGTTGCTGCAGAAGACTTGTTGTTTCTGATCAGTTAAGTTTCACATCAGGACTTTTAAATCCTGTCAAACATAATTTGCAGGCAAGTCAGAGGACCTTAAAGTGAAAAGTCTTGCCCTCCCTCTTGCCCCCAAATAGTAATCAATACCGCTCGCTGTCAGTAGCTTTCATTCCTTCTACCTGTCTGAGCAAACAGAGCTTTCATCCACTCTCAGCCTGAATAATACATGAGGAGCACAGAAGTTAACTCGTCTTTCCTCTGGATGTCTGTGTTTATGGGGGTTTTTTTACTGTGAGATGTGATTAACAGTCCTCGTCTCTGAAGCCAGATGTTTTAGTGATGAAGCATCTCATTATTTATTTATATGTACTGCAGTGAATTAAACCTGAACAGGAAACTCTTCGTGACAAAATCTCTCCAGGTTGTCTGGCAGTTTAACTCAATCACACTTTTGCTGTTGTCTTTTCCTAGGAGGACGCTCCATTTGCATGGGAGGACGTTCTCATTTTACTTGGATTTGTGTTTGGGACGGTTTTTCTCCACACTTAAACCAGTAAAATGAAGCAGCTGGTGAAAATCCCATCTGCTCTCAGTTTTTCTGATGTTTTCTCCAGTTGCCATGGTTATTTGTTGTGCTGAAAACAATGACACTAACTTTGATGTCTACAACTCCTGAACAAACATCTGTGTCAAAGCCAAACCAAGCCTCCACACTTGTAACCACCTTTAAATGTCTCTCAGCACTAATTATTTCGAAGCACTTTCTAAAGTAACTTTAATTTCAGTGATTTCTCTTTATTTTGGTAGGACAATGGGAAATAGGTGCAGTGATTTGTGATTTTTTAACCTGTTTGTTGAGCACAATGTTATCTGCTTAGATTATTCTCTCATCTTTCACTACTCTGGTTTGTTCTAAAATCTTTATTAATGTAAAATTCTCACACAGGTTTCAGCCCTATGTCTGAATCCATCCCAGACTCTCTCCCTTTTTATATTTTTCCCACCTGTGTGTAACAGCGGGTTGTAAAAACACAGCAGAAGATACAAACAGTAGTGACTAGTAAACTACAAGACAGTGATCTATTTTACTCTAGTGTATTTTACTCATTCAGGAGTGCGTAAGAGCATCATTTTTTCATACTTCTATAACATCTGTTTTTTTAATCTGCTTTGGCAGAAGCAAAATTGGACATGGAATAGATAAACTGATTCCCAGAGTTTTACAGTAAGACTGCTAAAAGGCTAGAAAACAGAAACACTCACAGAGGATAAGCCATAGATGGATAGCACTGTGTGTGAGCAGGTAGGGTTGTAGGACTGGGAAGAGTAAGGTGATAAATGGAAGGAAATGGGGCCGAGAGCAGCTGGAAGACCCTTCAACCAAAGCCTGTTACACCCTCTGACTTTCACACTCACCGGTTTCTACTACCAAATCAAATCAAATCTAAAATAAAATGTGAATGAAGAGGGAAATTCGTTGAACATGGTGGCAAGCTTTTACTGCAGTAAATTAATTTTTGCCATGCTCCTTGTCATTTGACAGGTTACAAAGAGACTGACAATACTGTGTGAATTTCTATGATTTTTCCAGATTTGCATACTGAGAGGTTTCTGATGGAGGACATTTGACGGGCAGTTTTACCCCCACACACACTTTGAAATATAATGGAAGGACCTTCCTGATTGAGTCCCACACCGCGCCTGCATGGGATTTCCTCCAGCGTAAGTGGCTCTAACATGGAGGCTCAATCATCCTCAGCTAGCATCAAGAGTGACGGAGGTCATCTTTCCTGCAGTAATGAGCTCCCTCGCCTGCTCTCCGCTGACATCAGATCGTCTCCTCCCGCATTTCTTCCTTTTTTTCTGCATTTTCTTTCAGCTTCCATTAACTCGTGTCTTTTCATGTCTCTTCTCAACATTCACGTCTGCTGTCCATTTCTTCCCTTTAATGTTGCCTGTCTTTGTTGCTTGTTGCTTCAACTGGATGAATTCTGATGGGCAAAGGACAGGAAAAATCTGCGCAGAAAGGTTGTTTCCAGCAGTGTTGGTATTTGATAATTATCTTCCAAGGCTTATAAAGGGGGTGACATGAGCACAACAAGACTTCATGGAATATAACACAAGGGGGCAGCAAGGGGAAAAGCCAGTATGTGTGAAATAATAAAGGAATCTTTATATACGGGACAAATTAGATCCCCAACCTCATCATTCATGTAAAAAGTGAGCTGAAATCAGTTTGAAATTGTCACTGCATGCTCGATGATAAAAATCAAATGAAAATTTGAAATGTTTGTGCCGTCAGAATGCTAACCCAGTTGGTTTTTATCACTTCTCCCATGCACATCCTTTCTGTTGTTTTCTGTCAGTCGATATGCAAAGAAGTCGTCCTGCTTTGAAACAAAACTGCATATAATTATCACTTCAAGACTGACCAGCAGAAAGGATAGCAAGCAGCAGCTCTGATCTCCCGTTAAGTCGCTGACTTTCTGGGTGAGCGATTAAAGACTGATTAGGTGGAACTAAAGCAAAACACTGCAGTTCCCAAGATGGCATCAAAACAGGATAACCAGCAAGTCTGAATCGAATTTCACTGTTGTTAATTTAACCTAGCCCTGCGTCAGACTGGCGACCAGTCCAGAGTGTCTGTTTCTCCTATATTGACTTCCCTTTGTAGACTCCCTCTTAAATGCAGAATTGAATTCAAAATCCTGCTCATCACATATAGGGTCTTAAATAATCAGGCCCCATCTTATCTTAGGGACCTTACAGTACCATATCACCCCATTAGAGCACTTAGCTCTTGCACTGCAGGCCTACTTGTTGTTCCTACAGTATTTGTCATGAACCGGCTGTGGCACGCAGGATGTAGGACCCAAAATACAGGACACTCAGACGGAAGAGTAAACTCAAAGAGGGTGCTTTTATTGCAGTAGAAGAAAAAAACTCCATAAACGATAACTTGCAAAAACAAAAACTAAACTAGAAACTTATACTAAACACTAAGAAAACTGGAACCAAGGCGCACAGAGAGAAAACCACACAGCATGAGGGGACGACGCAACAGAAAACAAAGGAAAACACAGGGCTTATATACACAGGGAATCAGGGAACGGAAAACAGGAGAAAGACACAGCTGGGAGAAATTAGGGCTAACAAGACATGGGAAGCAAAACTGAATACACTCACATGAGACAAAGTAAAACAGGAAACAAGAAAAAATTCACAAGGAAGCTGACTTGACATTGAACTCAACAGATTTGAGGCTTAGCGGTGTCCGAATTCAGGGGAAGGATGCTTTGATGCCATATTTGGAGGCAATGACGTCACGGCGACGAAGGCTGTCCAAATTCAAAGAGTACTCAAAATGTGGCAACAAATGCGTCCTACTTTGCCCCGAATTTTAAGGATGGGTCCGATATTTATTTCGTGTCCTACTGTATCCCAGGATTCATTGCGGTGTCGCATAAATTCTGAACCAGAAGAAGAATTTTTGAGCAGGCGGGCGAATCGGGCGTGACAGCGGGAGAGGTACTTGAAAACCTGATGTTACAAAAGTTGAACCCTCATAGCGGTTCTGTTGGTAGTCTCTGGGCATATGCCTATGGTTAGCTTATAATTTATAGAATCTCCGTGAAAGATTGCACGTGAACTAGTATGGTGGCTCCAGCAGTTTGTCATGCATTGCCACTTACATATTGCCACTTACGACTCTCCTCATCAAATTGCGAGGTGAAAATGACCACCTCTTTACTGGTGTGAAGAATTCTGCCACTGTGGCATGGAGGTACAAGAACAAACCAGACGGTATTCCCCTGGTGTTCTGCTGTGCAAACGTTTGGATTTAGGGATTAACATAGTTGCCAAGGTTTCTGTCTTCTCTTATTTTTCGGGTGTGATCAGGACTATTCTGGAGAAGATGGGCCTGCAGGGGACAGTCACCCCCTTACAGGCAAGAAAAAAGTGGGATAACCTACAGGCAAAATACAAAGTATGTTGCTCTCAAGAAGATAAGTCATGAGGACACAAGTGAGTAAATGTACACCTACTAAGAGTTGTGGTGGTGTTATCATTTGTCAACTGTCTTTTTTTATTTTTATTTCCCCTGCCTTTAGGATTGCAAGTACCCAGGGTCAGGAGAGGGTGTAAGTGGGAAGCCCACGGCTGCCACTTGGCCCTGGTTTGCCCTCATGGACGAGGTAATAGGAGAGAGGCCTTCCATTAGGCCTCCTGTCCTACTGTCCACTCTCCCTGAGGACACTCCAGGGCCAAGTTCAGCAGTGGGTGACCAAAACTTAGCGGAATATGACACTGATGAGGAAGACAGTCAGCCACCGACAACAGGAAGGAAGAGGAAACGGGTTCGGGATGATGAGCTGTTGAACCTCAACAGGGAGGACATGCAGCAACAAAGGGAGACTGAGGAGAGAAGGTCGCAGGAGAGCAGGGAGCGAATGGATAGACTTTTTTCAATTCTGGAACGTTTGATCCCAAAATGACTGCTGCGCCCCTCTAATTTTCTTTGACATTTAGACATTGTAACACTTGTGTGTTGAGATAATTTCCCAGGCACCAGACACCTTTTATTTCCTGAATTGCAGATGCTTTCCTTTAAATTATTTTGTTACATTGTGCTCTTTGTGTTGGAAGTTAAAAGTCTTATGTGCGGAATAAATGGAATCAAACAGTAATAATCACCAAACCCATTTTATCAACGTGTATTGACATAATGCTAAGTCATAATTACAAATGGATATTCAGTCAAAAACAGAGTACATATCAAGAACAACAAAAGAAACAATGTATAATGTATAAGAAGCATTTGAAGATGACAATATAGGGGGTGGCTGTAGCCCAGGTGGCAGAGCAGGTCAGCCACTAATCAGAAGGTCGGTGGTTCGATTAGAGGCTGCCTTCTGGCTGCATACCAAATGTATTGGGCAAGATACTAACCCATGTTTTCCTACTGGTGGTGGTCAGAGGCGCCAGTGTCCGGCAGCCCCGCCTCTGTCAGTGTACCCCAGGGCAGCTGTGGCTATAATGTAGCTTGCCATCCCCAGTGTGTGAATGTGTGTGTAAATGGGTGGAAGACTGAATGTAGTGTAAAGTGCTTTGGGGTCCTTAGGGACTAAGTGAAGCGCTATACAAATGCAGGCGATTTACCATTATTTGCAGCTATTTACATGTGTTCACACAAGATTAACCCTTTAAGACCTACCATAGAACCAAGGCCACCAGAGCTTACTT